AAACAAACACATAAATTATAATATTTAAATATAGAACTTTTGCGTTGTTGATTTTCTGCTGTCCTGCTGTTGCCATCCTTCTCTTCTTTTTTGTGCATTCCATTTGCTATCTCCTTTCCTCTTGATTTCTGACTGCAATTTTGAATTTTTCGAATTAGCTGGAAGTTGCTTTCTTTCCAAAAAAAAAAGAAAATAACATTGCCATAAATTGTATTATTATGATTATAAGTAATAAATAAATAAATGTGTATCCCAAATGGTTGGCACATTTTTTTTTCGTATTTTTTTATTATTATTATTTGATTCCGGTTTGGCGCTAAATTGCGCACAAGTGAAATTATCGATACAAAACCATTTCTATTTGTTATTTGTTATTTTGGCTTTAGAAATTCAGGGAATTCGTAATAGTTTTTTGATGAATCGAATTTGCATATGTTTTCAACAGATTTTTGTATGGTAAACAAGGGGGACATCAATTAGGAGTCTTAAAATTAATACAAAAGGTGCTTGAAAATAAAGCCTTCACCTTTTAACCTGAATTTAATTTACATTACACTTTGATAAAATTATTTTAAGAAATACTAACTAATTTCTAATAAACGTTGCTTGTACTTTCTTAAAAATATACTTTTAACCTTTAATATTATTTTGAATTGCTTTTAATCTCTCAAAACTACCTACATTAATTTCATACCAATACACAATTTCCCTTGTAATTTGATCTGCCAAAAAGCCAAAGCAGTAATAATCTCTTTGTTGAATATACAATTTCATTTGCTAACTTTCAACTGATTAATGTCAGCTACAAAATACCTCCCTAGCTTTTTTGAGCTCAATAGGTAAATCCCCCTTCAGAGCGGAACCCACATGCATAAATTCACTTTTTCGTTTCCTACCGCCCACAAAAACCTCACCAAAAAAAAATACGACGGGCATTGGGCACATCAAAAAATAGGCCAATAACCAAAAAATGCCATAAACAATTACAAAATGTTGTTATTGTTGTTGTTGTTAGTATTGTTGGTGGCGGTGTGCAATTGTTGTGTACAGCAGACAGGCGAGCAGCTTCTACTGCTTTCGGAAATGCTACGAAAATGGTAAACAAAATTTCAAGCACCTCGGATGACGCCTTATCCACCGCAACAACAATAAATCCAAAGGGGGGAAACATCAAAAACATAAAGAAGAAGATGGGTTGATTAGTATTTAAGGCGAACTTGAAATACTCTTTGATTGAGGTAATGGAGACTTTTGAAACTCTTGAAAGTATAATATTTAGAGTGTTAAAACTTATGTTTATTAGTTGGAAGTTAATTTAATTTTATGTAATTTTTTTTTAAAATATATTCAAACTTTGTAAATCATTAAAATACATAAGAAAACTATAAGATAAAGTAATTTATTCAAAGAAATCTTGAAAGATCCATTTCAATAACTCTTTAAAACTTAATAGAAAGACAGTAAACCCTCATTCTTAATTGGAAAAGATCTTAACATTACTATATAATGTAAATTCAAATTAGAAATATCTTAAAACCAGTACAAACTCCTCCCAAAAACCCGCTATACCCCCTCTTAGAGCATATAAACATATAAGAAAAAACATTTTGGGCGGTCGGCTTTATAAGGCGGACTAATCATGCAGCAACAACTACACTGTACACATAACTCTGACATATATGAGTACGGTACGAATATTCGAGTTGTGGTAACGATGGAACGTACCTACATTGACCTACTATTGCGGCAAAATGCTGCGCTATCCGCCGGAGTTGTGTGATGTAACTGTCCCAAAAAATGCCGCGCACATATCAACGAGCCAGTTCAAGTCCAAATTCGTGGAGCTCCCTCGCTCGATTCGAATTAAACAAAAGACAAAAATATAAATACATAAAAATAAGGAGAAAAAATACGAAAAAGAAGAAATAGCAAAAGCCAACACCAGTGCAACTTTACCGTTAATTTCTTTGTGTTGTGCGTGTGTGTTATGTTTTTTTATTATTTGTTGTTTGCCAATTTCGCTTTGTTTTCTCGTAATATATTAAATTTTGTTTCTGCTTTTGCTGTTTATATGTTTTCTTGTTGTAGTTGTTGTAGTTTTCTGCTGGTTTTTATTAGACCGCATTTTTAGAGGTCAGCGCACATTTGGCGCAGCATTGCAATGTTGCCTATTTGTCTTTCTTTCGCAGTGTTTGTTTTTTTGTTTATGCACCATTAAAGCTGAACCTCTGTTGTTTGGTTTTTTTCCTATCATACTATTTACCCCCCCCCACTTTTGAGGCGCCACAGCTAGCAAAGAGGTACAGTGAAAGCTGCCACAACGTGTACTGCCAGGAAATGTGCTCATAAATTGGGAGCTTCCTTCTGGTGTGTACACCTGGGCGTATGCGTAATATAATCGTTCATATTACTCATACGCCCAGTATGCCACATACAGGAAATAAACCGCACACGTTTCTCATGTTTCTCATACAAAACTATTTTCTAAGTAAATAAATATACTAAGTAAAGTAAGAAATTCTAAGAATTTAATGCGGTTTTATAGGGAATTTCAAGTTGAATATACAAACATATATAATTCATATTTCTCTTAATTGTAAATATATAAATGTCATATATTTCACAGTAAATAGGTAGAGTAATTTAGCAATCGGTATTTTTGGGAAATATTTGTATTAAAATTTAGTTTATTGCAGTTTTTGTTGATAAATTAAAATGCTTTTCCATAAAAATTCCTATGACTTATTAAATTAAACCCCAAAAGCTATATTTAAACATCATTTTTCTCCATCACATTTTCATCTTTATAGTTTCATATTTATTCTGCATTTTTGCAAATTCGCTACGTCATTTGCATGTCATCGATTTATTGTTGAGAACTTCACTCAAATCAACTCGTTGGCGGACACCTGCAACAAATTACGCATACGCCGCGCATGCCTCAGTAAACAAAAAAAACAATTTAAGAAGAAAAAAAGAAAAATACACACACTCAGGCGAGAAATATCGAGGCAAGTGACAGGCATTTCCGACATTTCCACTTCGACAAGCGATTAAAGCTCAAGTAAATAGAGTAGAAACTGAAGGAAATTCTCGAAATGAAAAACCTGGCGAAAATTATATTTATAATTTCCGTTTAAAAAGTTGCTGCAACAGCAGCAGCAGCTAGCTAATTGTGGCAAAAGCGGGGGTGGCATTCAGGGGGAATGTGCGCTTTGTAACCATTGCAAGCGCACAGCTGTTTTGTTGCCGCGCGATTTCCGTCACGACTTTGGCTTTTTTGTTTTCATTTATTTTCGTTTTCATTTTTATATTTTTGTGGGTAAATACGCTTTTGTGCCATATATTTTTTTTTCGCTGTTGCTGCCGTGGCTTTACATATAGAAAAAAAATATGTTTACATGAACGGAGAGAAATGAAATTTGTAATTTTACGAATATGTTTTTTTCTGGGAATCTTAAATTATATTGAGTGCATAAACAAGAGGCCTAAAAATTTTAGGGATATAAATAACAGAAAAATAATTCTTAACTGTTATTTAATTTTTTATTAATTAAATAATCATAGCATACTTTTTGCAAACTCTTGAAGTGATTAATCTTATTAGGTATTTTAGTATAGAAAAAAGAGGTCAATTGGTTCTTGAAACTTTAATAAAGGTTAATCATTCCATTTAAACTCTACCTGTACTCATTAATTTTTTGGTAGAGTATCCCAGTTTTTCCAAGTGTACCTTACATATGTATATTTGTATGTTAGTATGCTTGTAGGCATGGTATTTTTTACATGCTTCTCATTCACCCACAACGAACGAACGACGAACGGGCGGGCGAACCGACAAACGAATGGACGAATGAACGGAATAAGCGAAGCGGGCGGCAATCAAAACGAGACGACGGCGGCAACGACGTTGGCCTGTGTGTATTTAAAAAGCTGTAAAAAGCACTCACACAGAGATAAAGAGGCGCGCACACTCGCACACACTCACACAACCACAGGCGCAACATGCAATAATGCAGCCAGCAAAGCATAAATTGTAAACTCGTCGTCGTCGTCGTCGCAGCCACAGCGCCGACAAGCCTTGACCTGATTTCTCTTCCTCTCTTGCTGCCAATTGTGTGTGTGTGTGCATGTCTGAGTGTGAGTGCTTGCAAGCCTCATTGCTCCGCGCTTTGCCTTTGATGCAGTTGTGTGTGCCTATGTATGTGTGTGTGTGAACAGCTTGACATTCAATGCAATTTTTGTTGTTGTTAGTTGCTGTTGCTGCTTTGCTTTTTTCCGCTGCAGCGGCTGCTGTTGCTGCTGCATGAAATAAGTGAAAATGCACTTTTACTTTTTCAGCTGCAAAGGAAAGTGAGAAGCTAATTTTTTTTGCTCTTTCTCTTTCACTGTTTTGCTGCTGCTGCTGCGGCTGCGAGTTCATGGCTCACCAAATTGGGGCATTTCAATTGTTTCACTTCACTTCGTCTCTTTCGTTTCGCGTTCGCCTTTTTTTTTTGCCTTGTTTTCCACTCAACAACATGACATTTCTATGAAATTATGATGCGAATTTTTACGTACATATTTATTAGCTCTTGTTGGATTTTTTTGTTGACATTTTTGACAGCTCTAAAGACGACAGGGGCGTAGTAACTGTATAAAATATAAAGGGTTACTGTGAAGTGGGGGCGGTCACTCGAAATACCCTGCTGAGAGGTTAAGTATGCCCCGTTACTAAAGCAGAAAGCTGTAAAAGATAACGGTAAATGGGGTGAACTTGACACAATAGAGGCGAATGTACAGGGTAATTAGTGGGATTCAGATTTATTACCACTAAATGGTCACCCTTAATGTAAGCTTTTCTATAATTACCGTTTACTCTCTCTTTCACTCAGGATGCTCTGTTAAGTTAACATTTTAAACTGTAAAAATTTACTTTACTTCTTTATTTTAATTTTATTTTTTTACGAGAAAATTTAAGCATTTCTTATTTTAAATACTCGTTTTTCTCACCATTACAGACACTGAAATTCCTATTGTCAAACAATCGACAAGTCCGGCGCCTCAGCAGCAGCAACACTCCCAGCAGCAGCAGCAGCAGCAACATCTCCAGCAGCAACTGCAACAGCAGCAGCACAATGCAACATCCTTTGCCGGCGCCACAGCATTGCTGCATATTAAGACCGAGCAGAATGCTTTGCTTACACCGCACCAGCTGCAGCAGCAGCAACAGCAGCAGCAGCACAGCCTACATGGTGCAGCAGGCAACAACAACAATGCCCACCAGCAGCAGCAACAGCAACCGCTGGCCATTCCGCACCGACCGCTGCTCCATAATCTGCTCAGCGGCGGTGCCATCCACAATCCGCATCACAGAAACTACACGACGGCCACAACAGGTGAATAATACACATTAAAAATAATTCACTTAATTTATTTAAGTACGTATTTGTTAAGTAAATGAAGGAGAAAACACTTGAGATGAAAAAGATAATGCAAGTGATATCTGTTTATAACGGCAAGTCCTTGAAAAAACTACAATTTTGCAGAGATTCAAATGAAAATGAATATTTATTGATTTTAATTAATTATAAAATAAAATGTAAATATAATAAATTCGGCAAAGAAAAATCAGGAAACTATTTGAAGGCAAACTTAAAAGCGGCAAACGCGACAACACCCAGTTCCCAATATTATTTACAGTGCACTGCCCAATGAGGCGAGCGTGTCCAGTCGCAAGGTGAACCACTGCACACGCCCTCGACTCGATTCGCTATACTTACATATATAGATTATATAGATGTATATTCATGTCCATATCGATTGCTAATTACCCCTTTTCTTTCTCGTCCTCGTCCTCGTTCTCGCTCCCGTTCGCAGGTTCATTTCCGCCCAGTCCCGCCGACAGCGGCGTCTCCGATGTGGACAGCTCCAGTTCCGGGGGCCAGCCCTGCGCCGACGAGCTGAAGGCGCGCCTCGGGATGCCACCGGCCTCCTCTGCGGCCAACAATAACAATAATTCTGCGTCTGCGTCCGCTACGGCATCGGGATCTGCGTCCGCATCGGCAGCAGCCGCAGCAGCAGCAGCAGCGGCGGCAGCAGCGGCACACCTTCACACTGGCACATTTCTGCATCCGAATTTATACCAGAACAATGCGGCGAATTCGCTGAGGAACATATGGAATCGCAGTGTTGGGGGTGAGTATATATAGTATATACTGTGTCCATAAAGCATTTATCCTGGAATTTAAATGTGGCTAAAAGAATATATGGTTAAAGGGATTAATGTAGGGACAAACATTAGATTAAAGTTAACTCTTAACTGGCTCAAATTAAGTAAACTTTACATTTTACATTTGGTACATCAAGATTTAACAGTCGTTAAACTTTAACAGCCACTTCAATGGACAGCCGAACATTGGTTCTTTTAAAGCCTACTTCTAGGTGCTTTCAAAGGATTCAAAGTCTCCAAAGATACGCTTCCTTCTAAAAAGAGTTTGCTAGTTCGATTAGGGCCGGATTTAAGTCTTTGAAACATAATAACACTTTCAAAATATAACTTCACAATTAAATAACTTTTCTATTTCTAAAATTTCAATTAAACGTGACAATTTCTTAGAAGGATTTTGTGTGCATTTGTTTAGTTCTTCAAGCTCTAAGCTTAAAACGAATTTACTCGTATCATTGCCAATTAATCACATAACCTAATGTGGCATTTGCGTTTTTCAATCAATCTGAACTTAGGATAATCTGTTGCATACATAATGCACTTCTAATCCGAGCTTGCTTTATTTTTTTGCTGTAAAAATGTCAACGCTCACACACTCACACACACTGTGGCATTACAATCAATTGCAATGAGACTCTGTGTGCAGCACTCGCTGGCTTTTATGCTCTCTGCTCGTGTCCGTATATATGTATGTAGGGGTGCGTGTGCATTTATCGCTCTCAGTGTGTGTGTGTGCAAGTTGCTGTATAAAAATCTGTGGTCATCGACACATTGCCTTTGCGCAAATTGTGAAGGTCACAACGACAACGAAAGCAGCAACAGAAAAAGCACCAGCAACAACAACAACAACAACAGCAGCAGCAGCAGCAGCAGCGCCAATGTGGCAATAATGGCGCTCTGGCGCTCTCTCTCTCGCACTCTTATTCCCCTCATCGCAAGAGAGTGCCAGAGAGAGAGAGAGAGTAACTGCAACGAACAAGAGCGAGCCAAACACGAACCGAACAAAATGAACGAACGAAAGCGTCCGTGTGTGTGTGTGTGTTTGTGAGAGAGTGCTGCTCACTTTTGTTTTTATTCAGTTGGAGACTGACCCCGGCCCCCCTCCACGCACTCTATCTTTGACTCGAACTGGCTGAGCCGTGGAATTGGGCAACGTCGGGCAGGCGAGCAGCAACAACTATAACAGCAACGCCGGATGTAAAAAAAAATAAACTTACTAAATAGCATACAAAATTATACCTGTGCCACTACACACACACAAACACACATAGGTGGAAACGGTGTGAAATAGTCGCGAGTGATCGTTACCATGGGATAGATTTGGGATTCAAGCAAATAAATTATTTCCTTCGGGATATATTTTTAAAATTTAAGGAGAAAAATATAGCAAAGTCTAGATTGATTTCATTTATTAGTCAGGTTGAGGAAGGGGTTAGAATTATTTTCAATTTAAACGATATATTTGTAACATTGCAGGGTCTTCTGATTTCAGTCAGAAGTTTTTTTCTCTGTGAAGGAATCATTTCCGACCCCATAAATCATATATATTATTAATCAGTATCAAAAGCAGATTCGATCTAGCCATCTTAAGAAGAAACACAAATTTTTACCAATTTTTTCAAAATTTTATAAGGGGTTACATCGTTAAAATTGTCAAAACTTGACAAAAATTTTAAAATTTTAAAAAATTTAAATTGAGTATGTAGATTTGTTAACCTAATAAAAACTATCATTGAAACGCTTTCCGAGTAAAAATTAATGATTTTTGGACATAGTTATGAGGTTTTTAAACTTTTGAATTGTCTTAAAAACTGTCATAAAAAAATCTATATAAATATAAATGTTAAGCTTAGTTTTGATCGATTTCCGTGTTGATTCTATAATTAAAAAGCACACTGCTAGAGTATTAAAACTTCGGCATCGCGAATTAGTTTTCTTTTTTTCATTTATTCAAAATTGTTGCCTACTTCTAGGCGCATCCATTTATTCGTATGAGCCTACATATCAAGGATAATTTAAATGTGAATACTAAATTCCTTTATTTTCTTTCCAGTGCCCGATAATTACTATGGCAGCAATGGCGCCAGCAGCGGTGGTGGTCAACCGGGATCGGGGGGCAATCCTCAGACTCCTGGCTACCTGCCCACGTCCTACTTCACCTCACCGACGGCAGCAGCAGCAGCGGCGGCGGCGGCCTCGCAGCGTGGTGCCGCCCTCAACGGCTATCATTCCCTACACCAACAGCAGCAACAGTCGCAGCAGCAGCAGCAACAGGCCCAGCAGCAGCAGCAGCAGCAGCTGAGCCACCAGCAACTGTCGCATCAGCAGCAGCAGGCGCTGCATCAGCAACTGCAGCAGCAACAGCAGCAGCAGCAACAGGCGCATCAACAGCAGGCGCAGCAGCAGCAGGCGCAGCAACACCCGCACTCGCAGCTGAATGGAGCGCATCCGCACTCGCATCCGCACTCGCACTCGCATCCACATCCGCATTCGCATTCGCATCCGCATTCCACAATCGCTGCAGCGGCTGCAGCAGCTGCTGCGGCCTCTGTGGTCAGCAGCAGCAGCAGTGCCGTGGCAGCGGCGGCAATGCTGAGCGCCAGTGCAGCGGCGGCGGCAGCGGCCAACGCCTCCTCGTCCTCATCCTCGGTGATCCAACCGGCGACGTCCAGCGTCAGCTACGATCTCTCCTACATGCTGGAGCTGGGCGGTTTCCAGCAGCGGAAGGCGAAGAAGCCGCGCAAGCCCAAGCTGGAGATGGGTGTGAAGCGACGCAGCAGGGAGGGCTCCACCACCTATCTGTGGGAGTTCCTGCTGAAGCTGCTCCAGGATCGCGAGTACTGTCCCCGCTTCATCAAGTGGACGAACCGGGAGAAGGGTGTCTTCAAGCTGGTGGACTCCAAGGCGGTCTCGCGACTCTGGGGAATGCACAAGAACAAGCCGGACATGAACTACGAGACGATGGGCAGGGCGCTGAGGTACTACTACCAGCGCGGCATCCTGGCCAAGGTGGATGGTCAGCGGCTGGTTTATCAGTTTGTGGACGTGCCCAAGGATATCGTGGAGATAGACTGCAATGGGGTCTGAGGAGGAGGCCTGTATATATATAAAGGATCAATGGGTGAAGGATCAAAGATGGAAAGTGGTTCTCCGGGGGAGAAAAATCTGGGTTAGGGATTGGTCAAAGCAAAACCGGCTAGCGGCAATAGTGGCTTCCACAGTCACGCAAGGGCGGGATATGATAAGGATAACTTGATCCGATGATAACGATGATTTCTTTGTACATGCGCTAAGTTACACACACCTTTAGCTGATAGTCCCAATACGCGTATATATATGCATATATATATATACCTATGTGTATCCCACACCCTGTGTCCTGTACCCTATACATACACCCCTGAATTATGATGATGATCTATTCATTTGGCGTTAGTGTTGTACTTGTAACTGTAATTTTAACTGTAAAACTGTAAACTCTAAACTGTAACGGTATGTTTAATTAATGAATATTGTTATTATTGGTTATTATTATGAATATTATTACGATTATTAATATTATTATTATATTATTATTATTGCTATATTGCTATACTGCTATTGCTATGGATTGATTCATATTGATATTCGATAAACGTGTGTAATATGTAAAAAAATAATGAGCTACAAGAAATTCTCTGTCTCTATCCGAAGATCTAAAGTTAAATCTAAATCTAAATCTAAAATGTACATTGCGTAACTGTATATGCCTAGCCTAATATCTTTTCTAACTGCCCCCCAAGCTAACCCACTGCTCAAGGCTAAAGCCTTGCTGATCTGAACGATCCGGGCGGTGGTGTCTATGCTTGGGCCAATTGTTTTTGTTGCTTATTTTATAAAAGAGAAAGAAGATGGAAAGAGATGGAAATTTATTATTTCATAGTTTTATAGTTAATTTTACGACTACGATTAGGTTATTTATTTAAGTGTTTCTCTCCAGCTAAACCCCTTAACTGTCTCCCAAAACAAAGCATACACAACACATCCTACAACTGGAGGTAACAACCCAGGCAACCTGGTGGTCTAAACTTTCTTTGTAATTATTATTTCGTAAGTCTTGTAAACAAACTCACAGGATACAAAACCCGAACGAACACACACACTCCTTGAGCAGTCTTAGAACACCAAAACACACCCCACACACACACTCAACAAAACTTTCTCGATCTGAAGTTTATCTTTAATTAAAGACCAACCCAATGTATTTTTTGTTAACGTCACACTGCCACAGATCGAAACAGAAACCCCTGAACAGAAACAGAACAGAACCAGAGATATAGATTCAGCTTCAAACACTGCAAACAATCGCAATCCTCAATGCAATATATACCGACAACAATTTCCAAACACTGCCCAAAACGTGCAATCTCTTGAAAGGAAGAAAAACCCTTGAATAGGACAAAAAAAAAGAGAATAAAACCAACTCCTAGTTCTTTAATCTACTTCTTTAATAGTTGCGTTCTCTAAGTACCTTTATCTATTATTATGATTATTATTATTATTATTATGTATGTGTACGTGAAGATGAAATCTACAATATATCATTTTGTTTATAATGATTGATGATTGGATTGGTTGATATGATATGATGCAAAAATAAACAAAGTGAGTCTTGAGTTCAACTCTCTGTTCATTGTAAACAATTTTTTATGATTATTTTTTATTTTTTAAATAAAATTATTATTTCAATTTGTGCATGCGTTTTATTTACCAAAAAAAAAAACAAGTAAATAAATTAAAAAAGAAACCCCGACAGAAAACTAGTTTGTAAGCAAAAAATATATGATACAAATATATGAAACCCGCTACAAATTTGGAATCTAGATATACCTCCCATGACAAGTACATAAGTTATAGCATATTCAAAGTCTATATAGGATAATACCAATATTTATATAATCGCGTCTCACGAGAGCAGAGCACATATTTTAGATAAAGTCGTCGGATTGGTGTATTTTGTAGTTCTAAGTAACACACACACTTGACACACAACCACACACATCGCGAGGTCTCAGTTTATGAGGTTTCCCCCACATTGGATCATGGATATTTATATATATATATATGTATGTCTATATACCATTATCTAGACGTAAATCGGTTATTAGTTATTAGAGGATGCATATTCCAATGTTATAAGGATGCTCTAGGCGATAAGTTGCACCCAGAAAACACAGACAGATGAATCGAACAATATATAAATGAGCAAAAGAGATTACGACTCGAGTACAACGAAATCTGAGCCATACCTCTCCCACAGAAGGCAGCTTTAAACCGAGCCAGTACTTCCTCGTTTCAATATCCGAAAAATTCCCATAAAGACTCTCTCTCACTCGAAACCCCCAAATATTTATATGGTACATGCCTAGCACGACGATAAACTGTATATAAACAACTTCTGGACCTCATGTTTCCACTTGGTTATAAACGTAAACAACGTATTTTAAATATATATATACTTACACACCAATTATTTGTTAAATTGGATAACCCCGAATGCTGGATAAGACCAACTAAATTAAATACGAAGGAATATCGATGCCATCGTGCAGGATTTCTATACTAGGCTAAGGACAACCGACAAAACACTCTATTGGTAACTCAAAAAAAGGAAAAAGAAAAACGAACCGAACTATATAGCTTTTAAATTGAATGTGCGATTATTTCCATATATATATATTTATAGTATTTCAGAGTTTAAGATATGGTTTAGATAAATATGTTGAATGGATTAATATTAATTACAAATATTATGACTAACCCTAAGTTAAGAACTTTTCACATTTGTTTTTCTTTTTCGACTTTTTGTTCAATCTTTGTACATTTAACAGACAGCTTTTGAACTGTCTGTCGATGAGAAATCAGCTAAAGCCAGCCACAATATATATTAAATATATATACTTTAATGCATATATTTGTAGTAAGGGAACGAACGTTAGATCGATGACACGATATGGTATGTAGGTGAATTTTATGGATAGAGCAAGCGAACGGATTAGATTAATTTTTATAAGAGAAACGAAGCAAGAACAAAAGTCACAGCTAGCATAATTATTTACTGTTATGACAACATAAGAGTTTTAAGGTTTTTAGCTAAATTTTGTATATTTTAATCTACAAACTATAAAATATATATATATATTATCTGTTTTATAAATAACAATAAAGAAAAATGTGTTTTTATTGCCGTTTTTAAATGGGATCACTTTGGTCTGCTTAAACAGTTCAAATTTAAATATCGCGGCAAAAGTACAGTGTGCTAACCAGAGCAGTTGGCCACACTACCTAGCTGAGTGACGCTACTAACCTTAGCGTTACCAGATGTATAAAATTCATATGGCAGTTTAGCACATTATCGATATACTGTGATACTTTTTCCATCCCTGGTACAATTAGAGTTGTTAGTATATTTATGGTACTTTTTAAACAGTTAATAAAGTGTGTGGTATTTAAAACTGTGGAGTGAACTTGTTGAAAAATAAAATATATATGTTCTCATTGCTCAAGTCCTAATAATATATATAAATCGGCATATTGGCACGAAAAAATACCGCATTGACAACCGCCATCGATATATCGCAGCTATCGTGAGCTGTCAAAACATCGATAGCCGCCAACATCGATAGCTCTTTTGTATCGGACACGGTCACACTGTCTACAAATACATAAAAAACATTTTTTCTTGCAAAGTATTTGTCATTGTCCACATTTCACGTTTTTCGATGCGTTTGTGGATAAAATAACGCACAGTGATCGACTACAAATGGTGCAAGTGGCCGACGCGACGGCAATAGCGATGCGAATAACTATGAATTGACGCCAAGTTGCATAACGTCCGTCGCTGGTTAGTGTCAGTGTGCTCGGGCTCGTCGCGTTCCGTTTCCTCCGTCGCTTCGCAATTTCCAGAAAGCAAAACCTCACCACACCACGCACACACACACACACAAGCAAAGCGAGCAGCGCGGCGGAAAAAAACAAGCGAGGAGTGAATGTGGATGTGAATGTGGACTACCTCGCCGAATGTGCGTGCATTTTCCCCGTTCCCCGAGTCTGAGTGTGGCATAGCCGATGCGGTGCACTGATCCCTGTTCCCCCCACAACCGATCCGTCGCCGTCGCCGCCCACGCTACTGCAGCAACCAGCAGTCGCAGCACATACACACCAATACCAACAGCCAACGGCCCGCAGCCAGCACCCATACCAGCGCACCCAAGCACCGCGCAGCACGGCCGACAAAGAAAGAGCGCTGCTGGCTCTCTCTTCCTCTTCGTACAGTTCCTACGGCTGAAAATCAGCAGCAGCGGCGGCAGTGGTAGCAGCGGATTCCGCGGCGCAGTAAAGGAGGCTTGCATGTGAACGGGAACGGAAAATCATTAGCAGCATGAGTCTCATGGCCACGCCAATGGCCTCAGGGGCCGCGGCGCCATCATCTTCGGCCAGCAGCAGTGGCTCCTCCACACCTACCCAGGGCAACAACAACCTGCCATTTGAAAAGGACAAGATTTGGTACTTCAGCAACGAACAGCTGGCCAATTCACCAAGCCGAAGATGTGGAATCAAAGCCGACGATGAGCTACAGTACCGCCAGATGACCGCGTACCTAATCCAGGAGATGGGCCAGCGACTGCAAGTGTCACAGCTGTGCATCAATACGGCCATTGTGTATATGCATCGATTCTATGCGTTCCACTCCTTCACACACTTCCACCGGAATTCGATGGCCTCGGCAAGCCTGTTTCTGGCCGCCAAGGTGGAGGAGCAGCCAAGGAAGCTGGAGCATGTGATTCGGGCCGCCAACAAGTGCCTGCCGCCGACCACCGAGCAGAATTATGCAGATCTCGCCGCGGAGCTTGTCTTCAATGAGAACGTGCTGCTGCAGACACTCGGCTTCGATGTGGCCATCGATCATCCGCACACGCATGTGGTGCGCACCTGCCAGCTGGTCAAAGGTAGGCCCACAATACCAATCCGCTCTAATGCCATGTCCTCCCATGATATCCCAAGGCCATGTCGGATGGTAGCCGGTTGAGCGATTGAGTACTGATTACTATGGTATATTTTAGCATGCAAGGATCTGGCGCAGACTTCGTACTTCTTGGCCTCGAACAGGTATGCGCTACTCTCTCTATGGTAATCCCTCCTCCTCCACCTCCTCCCAGACGTGCTTGAGAGGTGCTCCAAAATTGGAGCTCTGGTATAAGCGGTGTGCGTGTGTGTTTGTGTGCGGGTGCATAGGGTCAAATCCTGCCCAGAAAACAGGCAGATCTGAAGTCTGTCCGTCTACCTGCCTGTGCAAATCTAGACACAGGTAACAAAGAAAATGTAAGGACTTAGAGCCAGAGTCAAACAGCAGGCAGTCTTGGCAGGGTCAGCATCCTAAAAAAGAAATACGTTGCCTGTTCTCTGGGTTAATTATCCCATGTTGCCTGGCAATCTCATTGCAATTTGTGTTGGGAAAATCCGCCAAATGTCAAGGAAATCTCTTGTTATTCCTGGAATGAAAAATAATGGTCCTCCTACGAAAAAAGGTAGCATCTTTCCGCGTTGATTATCTTACCGGAAAAAGTCGCTAAAGTTTCGCGGAATAATTTGTAATTCGAAGAAAACAATTCATGTATTTTTGGTTTGTAATCCAGTCTTGGAATTTGTAATTTTTCGCCGGGAATTTTTCCCTTAAAATAAAGAAAGTCCCTGCAATAATCTGTGTTGTTTGTCCAGATCCAGAGAGATCTCCTTTTGGGGAACCCGATTAGAAGAAGTCATACCAAATCCCCTGCACACACTCACCCAAAAAAAAAAAAAAACTGCATTATATTTTAAACTGTATTTAAACCACCTAACAACAATCCATGGCACACGCCACACAGCCTGCATCTGACCTCCATGTGCCTGCAATATCGCCCCACGGTGGTGGCCTGCTTCTGCATTTACCTCGCCTGCAAGTGGTCCCGCTGGGAGATACCGCAATCGACCGAGGGCAAGCACTGGTTCTACTATGTGGACAAGAGCGTCTCGCTGGATCTGCTCAAGCAGCTGACGGACGAATTCATTGCCATCTACGAGAAGAGTCCGGCGCGTCTCAAGTCCAAACTCAACTCGATCAAGGCGATCGCCCAGGGAGCGAGCAATCGGACGGCGTCCAAGGACAACAAGCCCAAGGAGGACTGGCGGGTGAGTGAGATGATGAAGGGATATCACTCGAACATTACGCCGCCGCCAGAGCTGGCCAATGGCAATGACAGTCGGGAGCGGGACAGGGATCGGGAGCGTGACAGGGACAGGGAGCGAGAACGGGAGCGAGATCAGTCGTCTTCGTCGCTATTACCGCCACCGGCAATGGTGCCGCAGCAGAGACGATCGGATGGCATCCACCAGCGCTCGTCCTCGGTGATGGGTGTGTCGGCCAACGGCTCCTCCTCATCGTCATCGTCCTCCAATCACAAGTTGCCAAACTACCAAGGCGGCATGCCGCCTGACCAGCATCCAGGTGAGTGTCCTGCCTCTCCTTACCCTAAGTTAAGAAACGCAAGTAACAGAGCGTGTTCCCTTTTCTGCAGATCACAAGTCCAAGCAGCCAGGCTATAGCAATCGCCTGCCCTCCAGTCACCAGCGAAGCAGCAGCAGCGGCGGGCTCAGCTCCTCGAGCAGCAGCAGTAGCAGTCAAAGGAGCAACTCTTCATCATCATCATCGAGCCAGCCTGGGCGCCCGTCTCTACCGGTGGACTATCACAAATCATCACGCGGCATGCCGCCCGTCGGCGTCGGAGGCATGCCTCCGCACGGCAGCCACAAGATGCCACCGAGCTCCTCCAAGCCTCAGCCGCCGCCGCAACAGCAGCAGCTACCGCCGCCCAATCATCCATCCGCCTCCAACTCATCATCGGCCTCATCTAGCATGTCCTCCAAGGACAAGTCGCAAAGCAGCAGCAAGATGTATCCGAATGCACCGCCGCCGTACAGCAATAGTGCTCCCCCCAATCCGCTGATGTCGCGTGGCGGCTATCCAGGCGCTAGTAGCAGCAGCAATGGAGCCCAGCCACCGCCCCAGGCCGGCTACGGCAGCGGCCACCGCAGCAAATCCGGCTCCACCGTCCACGGCATGCCGCCCTTCGAGCAGCAGCTACCCTATTCCCAGAGCCAGGGCTACGGTCACATGCAGCAGCAGCAGCAGGTGGTGCCACCTCCTCAGCAGCAGCAACATATGCCGCCGGAAGCACAGCAGCCGCAGCAGCAGCAGTCGTCACAGTCCAAGATGTCGCTCTTTAGTCCCGAGTGGCCAGACATTAAGAAGGAGCCGATGGCACAGCCATTCAACGGTCTCCTTCCACCTCCGCCTGCGCCTCAGGGCCACGACTACAAGCTGAACAATCATCCGCGAGACAAGGAGAGCCCCAAGAAGGAACGCCTCACGCCCACCAAGAAGGACAAGCACCGTCCTTCGACCATGCCCATGGGCAGCAGCAGTAGCAGTAGTTCCTCCGCCTCATCGGGTTCGTCGAAACCTATGTTGCCGCCTCACAAGAAGATGTTGCCACACGGCGGCCCCGGCGATCTGCTGGTGCCCAATCCCGGCGAGAGCGGCAGCAGCCTGAAGCGAGCCAACGAGATTTCCGGCAGCCAGTATGGACTGAACAAGCTGGACGAGATGGACAGCGGCCCTCAGCCGCGCGAAAAGCTGCGCAAGCTGGACAACACCAGCGGGTTGCCCGGATATTCGAGTTACGAGGAAAAGCACACGCCCCTAAACATGTCCAATGGGATTGAGACGACGCCGGATCTGGTTCGCAGCCTGCTGAAGGAGAGCCTGTGTCCGTTGAATGCTTCGCTTCTCAAACCGGACCCATTGACCATGCCGGGTCTCAAGCCCCCGGCGGAACTGCTTGAACCCATACCCTCGACGCCACCAATAATCAAGAAGGAGCCGGGCATCACACCTCTGCCCAGTCTGTCGACTGTCGTAGCGGCACCAGCCATGGAGATGGATGTGGTCACCAAGCTGGCCGTCGGCGAGATCAAGGAGGAGAGCAGCAGCAGCAAGGCGGAGAAGAAAAAGAAGAAGGACAAGCATAAACACAAGGAGAAGGATAAGTCAAAGGACAAAACGGAGAAGGAGGAGCGGAAGAAGCACAAGAAGGACAAGCAGAAAGATCGCAGCAGCAGCAGTGGCAGCGCTCCCAACAAGGACGGCTCGCTGGCCAACGAACCGCTGAAGATGGTAATGATCAAGAATCCCAACGGCAGCCTTCAAGTGGGAGCCTCGGCACCGCTGAAGCTAAAGATAAGCAAGAACAAGGTGGAGCCCAACAACTACTCGACGGCGGCCGGTATGCCAGGAGCTCCTGGCTATGGTTTACCACCGGCCGTGGCTAGCATAACATCATCAGCGCCTCCCTATGGCAGTAGCAGCAGCGGCGGCGGCGGTGGTGGTGGAGGTTATAGCTCTTCGGGTGGCAGCAGTTCCGGCGGCAGCAGCAAGAAGAAACACAGCGATCGGGATCGCGACAAGGAGAGCAAGAAGAGCAAGGATTATGCGAAATACAATGGAGCTGGAGCTGTATCTGGAGGAGGCGTCCCCGGTGGTGTCTTTAATCCTCTTGGCGGTGCTGGCGCCGCAGCCTCAATGGCCGGTGTTGGAATGAGCGCTCCCCTAATCAGTGCCGTTCCGCCATCCATGCTGCTGGCGGCGCCCATCAACGCAGCTCCACAGCCCATGGGCCTAGCACCGCCTTCTATGCCCTCCTCCTCCGCCTACAACAAGAAGTAGTGGTGGTAGCGAGTCCCATTTTTTTTATATCTATGTGTATAGAGAGAAAAAAGCTCTTCTGTCAGTCGATGCTATATGCTATATGCTAGTTGTTAGGATTGTTTCACTTTTACTTTAGCACGACAGCTTAGGTAATTAAGAAACGCAAGAGAGTCTGGATGGAATGGCAGGAGATGAATGGCGGAAATAAAAATGGAAGCTGGCTGACGGCGATGGAGTACGCAGAACTCAAACAAGCGAGAACTTTATATTGTACAGCATTAATTAATTTATAATTATAAATATATAGGAGCATTCATACATACACCGTACACACACCACATATACACATGCATAGAGCAGACTAGTTTATAAGAGATCCGAATCGGAGACACGAGTCCGAGTCCGGGTCAAGTACGGGCTTTGTGAGACACAGAACCATTCTTCAGAACAACCGTCTTAGCATTTAAGTTAGCAAATCAATTACAATATATGCTGTACATAGCCACAAAGGAAAACAAAATTAACCCAAAGCAAACTACTACACACTGAGAGATATATAGTACCGACTTCCGCTTAGCAAATATGTATACCCAAAAAATATAGAAGCCAAGACAAAGTAAAAGAACTTCAGAATATCCAAGGAACGACAACTAAGCAGGAGAATTCGAGGATGAGAATTCGAAGAGGAGCGTAGAAACGAAAGCCAGCGCTTTGATTTTAAATTGAAGACGCCAAAAAACAACTACATGATAAATTATTTAAATTTAAATTAAACAAAAACTAGTTGCTAAAGCGAAAGTAAAGAAAAAGGATGATGTGAAGACGAAGTTGTGTATCTTTAGTTAGAAAAGTTATTTCCTTTGCCTCTCACTCTCTCTCTAGTTTTTTTAAAAGCTTTTTTGCCCCCTTTTTACCAATCAACCGACCGACCGACCGATTTTCAATTAGTTTCCTCACAAACACTTAGCAATATTTATCATATTTAATTATTATTATATACAGTAATGTATTTTGTCAATGAAAAGATAACTAAATAGAGATCTGAATTGTTTCAGCGCAGGATATTATGTTTCAAGATCGCCTGGAACGTGTTGACGTGTAGCTTTCATTTGTTTTTAATTTATTTTTAAATTGTAGACTTAAGAAACCACAATTACCACAAACAAACAAACAAAACTAAACAAAATAAAAAAAAAACGAATTATGCGAAAAAAAACACTTAAAAACTAAAAATTTGAATAAAAACAAAAATTGTTGTGCAAACACAGAGAGAAAACCAGAAAATAAAAAACGTTTTAAATTTATCGAAAAAATGCAAGCGAAAACTAAGCTAAAAACGATTACAAATGCTGCTAGAAAATGAGGAAAACTATACAAAACAAAAGTTAGGCATATAGAAACTATATCTATCTATATTCGAGGCAGGAAAATGATAATGAAATGAAATTTTATGTAATTTTCGGCTAAGGCAAGAAAACAAAAGGTTAAAGCGAACGTTGCGCGTTTTTCAAAACTATTCGTATTCGTATTCGATTTCTCTTACTACTGCATTAAGCTGCAAGCATATATAGCTCTAAACTATCACCACACACACCCCAAAACACACACACACACATCTTAATCCACATACAAATCACTGATTAAAACCATTTACTTTTAAGTTGATATAACCCCCGAGGAGAACTCGTTTTTCTTTCTAGAGCAAATGCTTAATTTGCATCTAAGATTTAGATTTTCCTTTTACATACTTATTCTTGGTCCCCCCTCCCAAACCCCATAAAGTCCCCCGATCCCAAATATTTCCCCCGCCCCTAAATTAAGTTTTTTGTACATACTTAGAAAGCAAATGGAAAACCCGCCGCTCGATTGGTCGGCGGGCTAGTGTCGGGTTCCATTGGGATTATTTGGTTGTGCATCCGAATATGGACGCACTCGGCACTGGCACGACGTCCATGCGAGCGGCACGAATAAAAATCTTCAAAAACCAGGCAAAAATTCTAAACAAAAAATCAATAAAAATGCGAAAAAAATAAATCACAAAAAAATCAGGAAAAAATTAATTTCAAGCGTGTGTTTTTATTTCGGGATAATGGTGGATTAATGTTCAACATTACATTTTAAATAAATCGTAGATCTAAAGTTCATTGATAATGTTTCTGCAGTTTGCAAAAAACTCAATTTGAAACGAACTTTAAAGGAAACAAAATTTTGGAAGCTTATATTTTAGGATCGATTTCGGTGCTCGATCATAACTAATCTTAAAAAACTTTAACCCTGCAAGGTTATAATTGTAAAATTTACGTAATATATTTTATTCCTTACTTAATTTTATAAATATTCTATAACTAAAAGTCTCCTAAATTCAGATTTATAAGAAGATACCGATGGATGCCGCCTTAGCTGATGACATGATTGAGGATCCAGTCCAAGTAACTGCTAATGCGAGTAAAGACAGCCGGAAAACCCACCTGACAGCCCATGGTGGTGCCAAAGGAAGTGGATCCAATCAAGTAACTAATACTACCCTCTCTGTAGACCAGCGGACCGCCGGAATCGCCATGGCAGGTGGACTTGCCGCTGGCCGTGCTCATGCAAATCATCTTCTCGGACACCGCTCCGCTCCAGTACATCCGGCACACGGCATTCGGCATAACAGGCATCTCCACGTACCTCAGCACGGGGGAGACAGTGTCTGAGGCGTCACTATCCCTGCCCCAGCCGGAGGCGGATGCTAGCACGGAATCGTAGGTGGGAAAGGATCCGTTCAGACGACGTGGCAGACTGGCGGCTCGAATGTGTTTCGTGAAAGCCACGAAAATGGGCAACCGGATAAGTGAAATGTCATTGGTGACCGTGCTGGCCGTGTAGTTGGAGTGGACAATGATCCCTGACTTCTCCACCATAATCCTCTGCTGACCCGGCTCAGTCTCGTCCCGGATATTGATGGCACCCAGATAAACTGTAACTGATTCCGCGCTATCCATGCAATGGGCAGCAGTGATTATCCAATAATGGGAGATCAGGGTGCCACCGCACCAGGTGGTCAAGTTCCCACCGAAGGATATGTTCAGACCTGCCTGGTAGGGGAACTGACCCACCTCTGCCAGCTCCCCGTTTTTAATGAATGGCTCGACATTGTTCTGGAGTGGAACAGCCGAGCAGGAGACCAACAGGAGGACACTGGGTATGAAGAGCTTGAGCATTTTAAATCGATTAAACCAGCGATGTGATTTGTCTTCATATTATATAGAATAGGCAAACCTGTGTTATCATTAGTAGACGCACCTGCTATACTCCTCCACTTGGAACTTGGAGCACCCTCAGAGCATTGATAGAGCAGGGATTAAGGACACAGACTTGCAGATAAGCAAGAACTTAGCAATAGTTTTCCATTTACTGATGTGACCTTGGGAATAATATAGACAAACCTATGTTAAGTTATATAAAAATATAGTTTTTACAGATAAAAAACGAATTTGTATTAATTTGTATTGTTGCTGATAATAATATTATCTCTTCATTTTATACTAATGCGCAATTAATATAGATAATGTAAGTAAGTTAAGAAATTGAATTGTAGCATACTTTATGGTTTCTTTTAAAAAGCAATAGTAGTTTTTATTGAAGAATGTATAGAAATATGAATAGAATAAAACAAAAAATAATTTATTTATTTATTTATTTGTACACTGTATACTTAATTACAAATTAAGCTACAGGATGAGTGTCAGCCATAGCTGCTGAGGCTTTCGGCTAACAAAAAATAATATTTATTTAGTATATATATGAGACGTTATAATAAAAATTTGAAAAGAATAATAGCTCTTCTAATAAGAAGCTCTCATATTAATAGCATTCCTATGGTAATGCTTCAATATAAAATAATGTAAATTATAACTTTTTAATAATAATTAACGAAAGATTTTTATGCAATCGGGAACACTCCACCCTCCTCTTCTAACTGAAGAGTATTCCTATCGGAAACCCCCATAATAAAATAAACCAAAGACTTGTGTAGTTATAATTTTTTTATTATTCTTTTAGCAATCAAGTGGCGTTCTGATCACTGTATAAAGATAATTCACAATCTCTGGCATTATGACCAATTCGTACGACTAAAAACGACCAATCGTTTGATAGATTAACCAGCCATAAATCCTCAATCAAGCGGATGAAGTACGTCAGTGGCAGAGTAAGGTAACTCGGGGAAACATGCAAATCAGATTGGTTGTAGTTGCTCTGCTGATCGCTGTTCAGGGAGAATCGATCTTCTGCCTGGATCTGGGTCATGGAATCGATGGCAGGATTGCTGGTGGTGAGCTGGCTGGTGTTAATCAATTTCCCTACCAAGTGGGATTGAGTATCGAAGAGCCCAAAGATCTGTTCAGCTGGTGCGGAGCGAGCTTGATCTCTGATCGATACCTCCTAACGGCAGCACATTGTGTGGACAAGTAGGTGTAGTTTCTCTCTAAAAAATATAGACAATTTCATTGACTTAATATCTTTCAACTTCCTACAGAGCTCTTTCCATTACCTACTACTTGGGTGGAGTACAGCGACTGGCACCCCGTCAGCTCATCCGGTCAGGACAGCCCGAAATCCATTTACATCCTGGTTGGAACAGCGTCTCCCTGGAGAATGATATAGCTGTGCTTCATTTACCCGAAGTTGCTATCTTGGGGGACGCCATCAGACCCATCAGATTGCCAGGAATCTCATCTAGATATTCCAGTTACGACTACGTTCCAGCCACTGCCTCCGGCTGGGGTCGCATTAATGATGGTGATTGTCCTGAATTACCAAGAATTTGTTTTATTTATTAATTACAATTTAATTACAGAATCCACCGCCATTTCCGATCACCTGCGTTATGTTGTCCGCTTTGTGGAGTCCAACGAGGACTGTTGGTATTCCTATGCCAACATTAGATCCACCAATATTTGCATGGACACCACTGGCGGTCGCTCCACCTGCACGGGCGACTCGGGCGGACCTTTGGTTTACCATGATTCCTCTCTGAACTCCGATGTGCTGATTGGCATCACCTCGTATGGAAAGAAGTCCGGTTGCACCAAGGGATTCTCCTCGGTCTTTACCCGGATCACCGCCTACCTGGACTGGATTGGAGAGGTGACCGGGGTGGTCTATCCCTAGAGTTTGTTCTCCCCGACGAGGACTAAGCTAAGAACAGTGCTGGGCACTAAAACTATAATAAATGTTGAGCATTTTACGAGCGACTTTGTTTTCATTTTTTCAATGTTTGGAAGGGAGTGCGAGAAACATTTTTTACATTTTCAGTACCAAATCATCAATTCCTCGATTTCATGTATTTTCATGAAAACAGAAAGCAGTATATAGCGAAGGCGATCTGTGGATGTTTTGTCAAAAACTTCTGAATGCATTAAAAAACGTAGTATGCAGATTTGTTAGTGCTTTAAAAACTCGCACAGAAAAGTTTTCCGAATCAAAATTAAAGTTATTTCGGCTTAATTATGATGTTTGGAAAACATTGATTTTTCAATGAAATTGTCTGTTTTTATACCTTTTTTGCGGAATATAATTTCAGTCCGAAGATTGAAACGCAGTGAAGGAATCATTTCCGACCCTATAAATCATATATATTCTTGATCGGGATGAACTGCTGAATCGATCTAGCTATGTCTGGAAGAAAAATAAAATTTTCCGAATTTTGTGAAAATTTAAAAATTTGATAAGGGGTTACATCGTTCTTTTTATCAAAAATCGACAAAAAATTGAATTTCTTGAATTGAAAAACTGAGTATGCAGATTTGTTAATACAGTAAAAACTAGCATAGATCAGCTTTCCAAATTAAAAGTAATGATTTTTTGGCTTAGTTATGAGATTTTTAAACTACGATTTTTTGAAGAAATTTGCTGTTTTTATACCTATTTGAAGGGTTTTTTTTATTTTAGTCAAAAACTTTTGATTGCATCAAAAACGTAGTATGCAGATTTGTTAGTGCTTTAAAAACTCGCACAGAAAAGTTTTCCGAATCAAAATTAAAGTTATTTCGGCTTAATTATGATGTTTGGAAAACATTGATTTTTCAATGAAATTGTCTGTTTTTATACCTTTTTTGCGGAATATAATTTCAGTCCGAAGATTGAAACGCAGTGAAGGAATCATTTCCGACCCTATAAATCATATATATTCTTGATCGGGATGAACTGCTGAATCGATCTAGCTATGTCTGGAAGAAAAATAAAATTTTCCGAATTTTGTGAAAATTTAAAAATTTGATAAGGGGTTACATCGTTCTTTTTATCAAAAATCGACAAAAAATTGAATTTCTTGAATTGAAAACCTGAGTATGCAGACTTGTTAATACAGTAAAAACTAGCATAGATCAGCTTTCCAAATTAAAATAAATGATTTTTTGGCCTAGTTATGAGATTTTTAAACTACGATTTTTTGAAGAAATTTGCTGTTTTTATACCTATTTGAAGGGTTTTTTTTATTTTAGTCAAAAACTTTTGATTGCATCAAAAAACGTAGTATGCAGATTTGTTAGTGCTTTAAAAACTCGCACAGAAAAGTTTTCCGAATCAAAATTAAAGTTATTTCGGCTTAATTATGATGTTTGTAAAACATTGATTTTTCAATGAAATTGTCTGTTTTTATACCTTTTTTGCGGAATATAATTTCAGTCCGAAGATTGAAACGCAGTGAAGGAATCATTTCCGACCCTATAAATCATATATATTCTTGATCGGGATGAACTGCTGAATCGATCTAGCTATGTCTGGAAGAAAAATAAAATTTTCCGAATTTTGTGAAAATTTAAAAATTTGATAAGGGGTTACATCGTTCTTTTTATCAAAAATCGACAAAAAATTGAATTTCTTGAATTGAAAACCTGAGTATGCAGACTTGTTAATACAGTAAAAACTAGCATAGATCAGCTTTCCAAATTAAAATTAATGATTTTTTGGCTTAGTTATGAGATTTTTAAACTACGATTTTTTGAAGAAATTTGCTGTTTTTATACCTATTTGAAGGGTTTTTTTTATTTTAGTCAAAAACTTTTGATTGCATCAAAAAACGTAGTATGCAGATTTGTTAGTGCTTTAAAAACTCGCACAGAAAAGTTTTCCGAATCAAAATTAAAGTTATTTCGGCTTAATTATGATGTTTGGAAAACATTGATTTTTCAATGAAATTGTCTGTTTTTATACCTTTTTTGCGGAATATAATTTCAGTCCGAAGATTGAAACGCAGTGAAGGAATCATTTCCGACCCTATAAATCATATATATTCTTGATCGGGATGAACTGCTGAATCGATCTAGCTATGTCTGGAAGAAAAATAAAATTTTCCGAATTTTGTGAAAATTTAAAAATTTGATAAGGGGTTACATCGTTCTTTTTATCAAAAATCGACAAAAAATTGAATTTCTTGAATTGAAAACCTGAGTATGCAGACTTGTTAATACAGTAAAAACTAGCATAGATCAGCTTTCCAAATTAAAATAAATGATTTTTTGGCCTAGTTATGAGATTTTTAAACTACGATTTTTTGAAGAAATTTGCTGTTTTTATACCTATTTGAAGGGTTTTTTTTATTTTAGTCAAAAACTTTTGATTGCATCAAAAAACGTAGTATGCAGATTTGTTAGTGCTTTAAAAACTCGCACAGAAAAGTTTTCCGAATCAAAATTAAAGTTATTTCGGCTTAATTATGATGTTTGTAAAACATTGATTTTTCAATGAAATTGTCTGTTTTTATACCTTTTTTGCGGAATATAATTTCAGTCCGAAGATTGAAACGCAGTGAAGGAATCATTTCCGACCCTATAAATCATATATATTCTTGATCGGGATGAACTGCTGAATCGATCTAGCTATGTCTGGAAGAAAAATAAAATTTTCCGAATTTTGTGAAAATTTAAAAATTTGATAAGGGGTTACATCGTTCTTTTTATCAAAAATCGACAAAAAATTGAATTTCTTGAATTGAAAACCTGAGTATGCAGACTTGTTAATACAGTAAAAACTAGCATAGATCAGCTTTCCAAATTAAAATTAATGATTTTTTGGCTTAGTTATGAGATTTTTAAACTACGATTTTTTGAAGAAATTTGCTGTTTTTATACCTATTTGAAGGGTTTTTTTTATTTTAGTCAAAAACTTTTGATTGCATCAAAAAACGTAGTATGCAGATTTGTTAGTGCTTTAAAACTCGCACAGAAAAGTTTTCCGAATCAAAATTAAAGTTATTTCGGCTTAATTATGATGTTTGGAAAACATTGATTTTTCAATGAAATTGTCTGTTTTTATACCTTTTTTGCGGAATATAATTTCAGTCCGAAGATTGAAACGCAGTGAAGGAATCATTTCCGACCCTATAAATCATATATATTCTTGATCGGGATGAACTGCTGAATCGATCTAGCTATGTCTGGAAGAAAAATAAAATTTTCCGAATTTTGTGAAAATTTAAAAATTTGATAAGGGGTTACATCGTTCTTTTTATCAAAAATCGACAAAAATTGAATTTCTTGAATTGAAAACCTGAGTATGCAGACTTGTTAATACAGTAAAAACTAGCATAGATCAGCTTTCCAAATTAAAAGTAATGATTTTTTGGCTTAGTTATGAGATTTTTAAACTACGATTTTTTGAAGAAATTTGCTGTTTTATACCTATTTGATGGGTTTTTTTTATTTTAGTCAAAAACTTTTGATTGCATCAAAAACGTAGTATGCAGATTTGTTAGGGCTTTAAAAACTCGCACAGAAAAGTTTTCCGAATCAAAATTAAAGTTATTTCGGCTTAATTATGATGTTTGTAAAACATTGATTTTTCAATGAAATTGTCTGTTTTTATACCTTTTTTGCGGAATATAATTTCAGTCCGAAGATTGAAACGCAGTGAAGGAATCATTTCCGACCCTATAAATCATATATATTCTTGATCGGGATGAACTGCTGAATCGATCTAGCTATGTCTGGAAGAAAAATAAAATTTTCCGAATTTTGTGAAAATTTAAAAATTTGATAAGGGGTTACATCGTTCTTTTTATCAAAAATCGACAAAAAATTGAATTTCTTGAATTGAAAACCTGAGTATGCAGACTTGTTAATACAGTAAAAACTAGCATAGATCAGCTTTCCAAATTAAAAGTAATGATTTTTTGGCTTAGTTATGAGATTTTTAAACTACGATTTTTTGAAGAAATTTGCTGTTTTTATACCTATTTGATGGGTTTTTTTTATTTTAGTCAAAAACTTTTGATTGCATCAAAAAACGTAGTATGCAGATTTGTTAGGGCTTTAAAAACTCGCACAGAAAAGTTTTCCGAATCAAAATTAAAGTTATTTCGGCTTAATTATGATGTTTGTAAAACATTGATTTTTCAATGAAATTGTCTGTTTTTATACCTTTTTTGCGGAATATAATTTCAGTCCGAAGATTGAAACGCAGTGAAGGAATCATTTCCGACCCTATAAATCATATATATTCTTGATCGGGATGAACTGCTGAATCGATCTAGCTATGTCTGGAAGAAAAATAAAATTTTCCGAATTTTGTGAAAATTTAAAAATTTGATAAGGGGTTACATCGTTCTTTTTATCAAAAATCGACAAAAAATTGAATTTCTTGAATTGAAAACCTGAGTATGCAGACTTGTTAATACAGTAAAACTAGCATAGATCAGCTTTCCAAATTAAAAGTAATGATTTTTTGGCTTAGTTATGAGATTTTTAAACTACGATTTTTTGAAGAAATTTGCTGTTTTTATACCTATTTGATGGGTTTTTTTTATTTTAGTCAAAAACTTTTGATTGCATCAAAAAACGTAGTATGCAGATTTGTTAGGGCTTTAAAAACTCGCACAGAAAAGTTTTCCGAATCAAAATTAAAGTTATTTCGGCTTAATTATGATGTTTGGAAAACATTGATTTTTCAATGAAATTGTCTGTTTTTATACCTTTTTTGCGGAATATAATTTCAGTCCGAAGATTGAAACGCAGTGAAGGAATCATTTCCGACCCTATAAATCATATATATTCTTGATCGGGATGAACTGCTGAATCGATCTAGCTATGTCTGGAAGAAAAATAAAATTTTCCGAATTTTGTGAAAATTTAAAAATTTGATAAGGGGTT